GCAAAGAGAGAAAACTCATTTTTGTCACTATGTTACAAGAGACATTCCTCATCTTCATCATTTTTAGGTAGAGGTTTACGCCCAATCTGAGTATTGTTGCCAAACCCTCCTTTATTCTAAAGTGACTTGAAATCTATCATGTTAGAAAGATGGCTCATCCAGACTTCTACTATGGGGGAAGAATGGCGATGGATTTAAAGGATGAGTGTTTTATTATCTGGGAAGTAATTTATTATGCAGTTGTGCTTAGATCTCACTAACTTCCTCTGAACTCAGAACCACGGTAGTATGATGCCCAGCCCACAGCTTTGCAACACATCCCATTAACCTCACATGTTTCGGCCATTTTAAATATTAGTTCCATTTCAACAAACAAAATCCTGCAATGCATTCTGGTAAATTAGTCTCTAATAAGAAGAGACTAGAGCATGAAACTCCAACAAGAATGTTTAATGGAATACAAATATCTAATCTGAAAGCTCTAATAAAAGTCTCCTCTCTCTCTGGGTGAAGGTCCTTGGCTGTTACACAGAAACCATCATATATGGCCACCCTCAAAATGCATTATAGATCAGACTCATAATCTTTCCTTCTATAAATGGTACAAAAATTGATTTCAATTATCATTTAATACCGATTTCCCTCCCCTGTCAAAAAGTTCTCTGCGCACATGAAACTGAAGGTTGTCAGCTTGAGCTCATTGGCGGAACTTTTAAGGACTATTGATTTGTCAGTGAGATTTCTAGTTCTCTCATGGTTACTGGAAGGATACCTCCTAGGCTGGATTCAATGACAGGATGGGCCAGAATGCCAATAGGCTCAGTGAAGACTGATGAAAAGAGAGGCTCAAAATTTGTCAGAATGCATTTTGTAAATTAGGTTAACATGATTGATTATACTAAGCCAAAATTTCTCATGTAGCACTGGCCGAATTTTAATTATCTCTGTTCTTCCTGCTCTGTTTTGTGCGCTGGGTACATGTCTTTGAAGTCTGCACATTAGCCTTTGCAGAAAATATGGAGTGGTTTAAAAATAAATTGGACTTACGCCTTTGGAAACTAGGAGATGTTTTGTGCACCTACGGAGACTTGTTTTCTTCCTCTCAACTCCATCAGTAGATGAGTTACTGCAGAGTATTTATATAAGCACGTATGTAAGGCCAACAGTTTTTTTGGGGGGGTAGGATCTTATGTACTTACAGGCACTTAAAGAACCCAAGGCCCTTTATCTTCACTTTAATTTTCTCACAATCCTTGTAAAAAAGACAGCTTTCTACACCTAATGGCTTTTCTAGAGCACTCCCATTATTCTGAGTAAACGCAGATGCATTTTGCAGGCATAGTCAGTGGCCCCTTTAAACAATCTCTCCCTCTCCTGACTCCCACATACATTTTTCTATAAATGTTGTGCACATTTATCTCTATAGGGACAGACCCAGACTTCCTGTGGCTTTAAAAGACACAAGTTCACATTCGATCAGGAAAAATAATCACGAAATCATGGATATGAGATCAACATGAGAGTGAGTGTTTTGTTTGCTTGACAAGTCAAAACCAACAAAGTTTTAGAAGCTTAAAACCTAGAGACATTACAAAATCCACAAAACATATTCTTTCTCCTCTCTCCCCCTCTGTGAGTGTGTGTGTGTGTGTGTTTGTGTGTGTGTGTGTGTGTGTGTGTGAGAGAGAGAGAGAGACAGAGAGAGAGAGAGAGAGAGAGAGAGAGAGAGAGAGAGAGAGAGAGAGAACAATATGGGTTATGGTCTCTGCCTTATAAGGCAACAAAGTATACTTTGTTGGAGATACAGGCTACCAGCCTGGCTTCTCTACCAGCCTCCAGGGAATTTCTGGTATTTACCTGCATGCCTCCTATCTTGCCATGAAGCACGGAGATTGGACATGTTTGCACTGTGGGTTCAGCTTTGTGTCTTTAAGTAGGACCAGGGGATGCAAGCTCAGGTTCTCTCACTTGAGCAGAAAGCATGTTTGTTACCACTGGGCTAGCACCAAGACCCTTTCCCTTCTGTTAAAATAATAGTCTCTGATCAACCTATAACATAAATGTGCTTTCATTTTTAAAATATCTACAGAGGGGGAGAAAATACTGGAATTTCTTTTTCTATCTTAGATGGCCGGGAAAAAAATATTTGTTATTATTGGTGTTTTGCAGTCAATGTCTCAACTCATTGTGGGCTATGTGCAGATTCTTTTTGCCTCACTTCTTTCACGGCTGTGGGCAGTGATATGAAGAGTTTGCACAGAAGAGATTCTGACTAATACAGTCAAATCTTGTACTTCCTCTGCAAAAAAAAAAAAAAAAAAAAAAAAAAAAAAAAACATGCTTCCCGGACTAGCACTGCAGCTCAGTCAATTAGCAGGCTACCTGTGCACATGCATGCTGTTGTCAGGACACCAGATGCAGTGTTAGAACAGCACTGGATTTCCTACATCCCAACAAAAGCAACACCCAACTCCCACAAATAAAGTAGCTCAGGCAGCCCAACTGAATGAACTGCAAACAGTGCTCTGCTCAGCATGCACTCACAAACAGCCACGCCAACTGACTTTCCTCACACAGTTTTACATGGTGAGTGAAAACCACTTAATTTTGTCACCCACCCCCAACCCCACAAACATCTGCTGCCTTTCCGGTCCAATATGGTCATCCTTATCTATCTTTCTATTGCCCTTGCTAACTGCATATCATCCTAACCTCACAGACCAGGGCACATTTCAGGGTAACCTCATCCCTCTCTAGCCTCACACAATCATGCACATCTCAGCTAACCACATGTATCCCTCCCCAAATTTACAGGACCATGTACATCTCAGTTGATGGCATCCCTCCCCAACTCCATAGTCCAGGCCACATCTCACCTTACTGCCTCCCTCCCTAGCCTTCCAGGACCACATACATCTCAGTTTACCACATTCCTCCCTAATCTCACAAGTCCAGGCCACACCTCAGGAGGCAGCCCTAAATCTTCTTTTCCTAGTCTCATTTCCATTCTCCCAAAATAACGGAAAGATCCCGATTTTCTCCAAAGGCCTAGTTTATCTTCTCAGACACCTGCAGGTCACTTTCTGTCTAACTTGTTCTCCCAAGTTCTCTACATCTGAGATGAAGATACTTTTTCCTGGGTTTTCTCTGTTCGTGCCAATTCTCCTCCCCCTGGTTCTCAAAGATTCTCCTGTATGCAATCTCCATTTTAGAAGCTTTGTAAAACATCCATGCCCAGGGATGGCAATTACTTTTAAGGTAACATGGGCAGCGTGGTGGTTTGAATGCCATTGGCTCCCAGAAGCTCCTAGGGAGTGGTACTTTTGGGAGATGTGGCCTTGGTGAAGTACATGTGACTCTGTGGGGGTGGGCTTTGAGCTGTCTTTTGCTTAAGCCTCTCTTAGTGTCACAGTCTACTTCCTGTTGTCTTTTGATCAAGGTGTAGCCAGCACTATGTCTGCCTGCATGCTGCCATGGGCCCTACTGTGATGATAATGGACAGAACCTCCTAAACTATACACAAGTCACACCAATTAATGTTTTCCCTTATTAAGAGTTGCCATGGTCGCAGTGTCTTTTCACAGCAGTAGAAGTCCTAAGACAGGCAGTATTAATTACATGTGTAATTTATACCATTCTGTACCTAATATTAACAAAATGTGCATATGTGCCATAGTGTGTGTGCCATATATATATATGATTTCTAAAAAATATAATAAGTAGGTTAATCTTATTGTTGCTACAAAGCAGTTTACAAAGAACTGGAAAGTCAATTTTTGAGAAAAATATTTTCTGCTTTTGGGATATGTGAAAGCTTGTAAATGGGAAATGATAAGGTAAAATGAGTTGTAACAAATGAGGCAGTAAGATAAGAGCCCCACATAGCAAATCCATAGTTCACATGGTTATCTGACCAACTTTGTTTCCCCAGATTGGTATGATTTCCAGGCTTTCCAAACCCTGTAGATGGCCGTATTTCTATCACTTGATTTCATGAGGTACCTAGTTCTCTGTAGCTGGAGGTATTTATGAAGGGAAGGGAAAATTTGCTAAATATTGACTTGAACATCCAGTCTCTGCCTGGATGGAGATGAAGTATAGGCCGTCTGCTAACACGGGTATACAGACTCTGTGAGCAAACGCCACGTAGGATTCTGCTGTGCTCTTCACTGAGAGAAGCAACTGTGTTACAAAGAAGGCAGAGCTTCTAGAGACAGAGGACAGTACACAGCCAGCCCTAAGCATCTGGCTCCGCCTCTACTATCTCATTGAAATTAATAGCTCACTGGTAGCATCAGCCTCAGCCTGAGTGACTTAACAGACTATGACTGGAGCCAGCTGCACCTTCAAAGGTGGCATTTCACTTCTAGCCTCTGGCAGGTCTGATGTGATTCCAGTTTATTGTATGTGAGTTTTTTTTTGTTAAAAATTCAATTTTTAATTTTTAAAATTTTCCTCAGTTATGATGATGGATCTCTAAACTGTGAATGTATTCCATCAGAAGGCGTTAACAAAAAAGAAGCTTTCAAATATTTAAAGGTGGGAATAAGAAAACCCAAATACACACACACACACACACACACACACACACACACACACACACACACGAAATCTACATGCACACACATACATGTGTACATATGTATATATATGGCCTAATTATGTTCTTAAGCAGAGGTCTCCATCACTGTAAGCGGTGTCTCACAGGCCAGCTGCAGGCGTGGATGGATTTGATTACCTCCATACATTCTGTGTGGCCAGAAACTTAATGCTTAGGCTCAGCAGGAGAGCCTGTGAAGAGGGAATTGACTCACACTGTGATTTATAATAACAGGAAACCTTTTCTGTGAAATTTTATCTGAGAGTTAAGAACTCCTTTGAGATTTTTCACTATCAGCGCAGCATGGTGCTATTATTTTGTTACTGAGACACTTAAACTTTTGTTTTTCCTTCCTCTTACAGAGGAATCTGAAAATTCAGCAGAAAGCAGTGGTCGCTACCTGTAGTCCAGTTAGAGACCCTAGAGATCGCCGCCGGCGGTCCAGCAGACGCATCTGAAATTTTGTATGCACCCACTAAATTATTTTTTAAGAGAAAATAATTGTAAAATATAGTCAGTAATTGGTTTTCCTGTGATTTAAGAGATTTAAAAAAAATAACCTTTATGTACCCAGCCTTTCCTGTTCTCCATGCTATGTTGTTGGAGAGATACAGGGATGTCTGCTTCCTCTCCTCTAAAAACCAGTGTTTCTCCATAGAAAACACAGGTCATTCTGGGTGGGGATGGGTGCATTTTCTTAATTGATTTCGCTACCATCCCAAATGACTCTATCTTGAGTCAAGTTGACATAAACTAGCCAGCAAAATGTTTATGTGAAGTTTTTTTGAGTGCTAAGAACCATAGTTATGTCTGGACTTAGCAAAAATGGTGAGCAGATATTACTAAAAATGAATGCTTTGTGCATTATGGAGTATTAACTTTATGAAATGGACAATTTAGCACGTAGCTTAAGTATCTGTACAGAGAAATGGAAACTTTGGACTCAAGAACCAAAGATCAAACAAATAGGTACATGTCATACATGTAATACAACTGTATTAATATTTATTAGGTGAAAGTCAATAAAAAAGCTGATAAACTTCAAACGGTATATATTCTCAATAACCGAAGGGTTATCACCTGACAATGTTCTGTCGTTATTTGGAAGTGTTCTTTGCATGGCACCTTGGATAATGTTAACTGTTATATACATTTTAAACAAATGCCATGGAGTGCAGCAGAGGATAGAAAAGAGAAGTTAAAAGGAAGGCAAGAAGGCAAGAAGAGATGGATGAAATATTCCCTGCAGTTTCCTAGCTGCTCGGTCCAAGCATTCCTCAAGGTCTGATGACATACACTTCATTATGGAACTTCCACACAGAACATTCCCACAATGCCAAGTTTATATTCTAATAACATAAGGTCAAATGTTTACTAGCTATTTAAAATCAATAGTGCCTGATTAGTTTCAAGAAAACATAAACAACTGTGAATTAAATAAATCCATAGTAGAAAGACATTAAGAAAAACACACAATGTCATTTTATATTATGGTTAGCTTTTAATCAATACTTACAGTGTTATAAGCAGTTACTGGTGCCTATAAGTGTTTAGGAATATTTGTCCTCACAGTGCACACTGCATCTGGGCAGTAATGCCATGGTTCCTGTGGGCAGAAGGCCTTCCCCTCAGCTCCATCCCAAACTGAACTCTTGCCTTACCCCACCCACCCCCAGTCTCCTCATTCTAACGCCTATTCCCACTATTAGCCCCAACATTTCATTTCATAAAAATTTCACAAAAACAAACAAAAAGGATAATGACCCCTTAGTGTGCCCAGCCACACCTATCTCATGAGCAAATTCGAAAAGATCCCTCTCCCAGGGAATTTGCACCAGCCTCTCTCCTCTCCAAGCCATCCATGTTGTCAAGGAAGGCTATAGTGAGTCACAGCACTTCTGCATGGTATTTTTTTTTTTTCTTTTCAATATATCTCAGTAGTCACGGTTTGGTGTCCATGAACTACAAAGAACCAGTGGTATAAAAACTAATCTAATCTGAGCATATTATTGTCTCCTCAAAAATCTTCTACTTGGCACCATGAATTAGTCTGTCCTCTGAGAATGTATTTACTACTTTTCCTCACACATTCTGTTCCAGCTCCCATCTTACTGATCCCCCACCATCATGAAAAGATTCAACTTTATAATAAATACAATTGCTGGGTATCCTACTTGGGATGCTGTTTATAAGTCAGCCCCTTAGTTTAGACAGTGCTTCTCCAAGTTAGTCACTGTCCACAAATTCACGAGACTTTCCCTAACAGACCATCCTACAGAACTGACCACCTCATCTCTGCCGCCTCTGAGCCTTCTTTACCCCACCCTCCTTCACTTACTGACGCAATGTTTCTTTCTTAAGACCTCCAGTAAAATGCCAGCCTTATGAAATTGCTGTTGATCGTGTCCATTCATACATCTGTTCCCATGATCTCAGAAAATAACTTAAAATAACCGAGGTCCAGTAGGCAAAGGCGTGAGACAGTAACATGATTTTGCTGTTTTAATCTTCCTGAAGACCACGCCTTTCTGGGTCTTCCCCATTCAGAATGTTGTGTTTATTTCCTCTTATGCTCTTGCAGTTCTTTCTTATCTCGTCCTCAATGCTTGCTGCACCAACAATGCAAACATACACGAAAAACCACAATTCTGTCAGCCCAGTTTCTTCTCTCTTCCAAAGTGCTACATATACCACAGAAGTTTTTAATTAATGGCAAGGAAACTTTTCCCTTTCATTTTAGTGTTTTTCAATGTGTGTGTATGGGTGTATATGAGTGTGTGTGGTATGTACATGTATGTGTGGATTATCTCATTTTTGCACGAACATATAGAGGACAGAAGTTGAGTTTATCATTCTCCACGTCCTTAAGACCTTTTCCAGTGTTTTATGTTAAAACAATAACATCATGTTTAAAGCATACCAAACACTAAGCATTAGTATCTTCTTGAGTGGAACCTATCAACCATAATCACTATATTTGGGGATCAAGTTTTGACTAGTAATTAGCCAGTGTATAAGGATCTATATGATTTTAGTGCCCAGCCCATGATAGCAATTATTACTGAAGGGTATGAACTTAAGAGCAATGATTTGCAGAAGGCATTTAAGAAGAGAGTATTTGTTGGGAGAATGAAATAAATGCTTAGATTACAGAGTCACCATCCTAGGGAGATTAAAGACACAAATTATTTTTGTAATGTATTTTGAAATATATTTATTTATCCTTATTTTATGTGTGTGAATGTTTGTTCGCATGTACGTATACATACCACATGCATGTCTTGGTGCCCTCGGAGGCCATAAGAGAACATCACAGCCCCATGAAAGCAAAATTACAGAGGCTTATAAACTGTTATATGGGTTCAGGGAATCCAATGTAGGCCCTCTGTAAGGAGTAGGTTTTCCCTTGCCGGTCTGGCCCCACCACCACGCCAGCCCCAAATAATGTAATAAAAATAAATGCTGTTGGCCAGTTACTTGTTTCTTATCAGCAACTCTGTCTTAATTATTAACCCATTTCTATTAATCTAAGTACTTGCACGTGGTCTTTCTTACCGGAGAGAGGGGCTGGCGTTCTTCTCCCCCGTCCTCCATCTTGAATCTCCTCCTTCCTACTTCTGGAATCCTAAGCCCACCTATCTTGCTTTCCAATTGGCCAACAGTGCTTTATTCATTAACCAATAAGAGAAACATATTTACAGAATGACATCTCCCATCAGCCCCCCTGCAAGACATTTGTGTGCTGCAGCTAACATTACCTTCTACTTTGGTGGAATGGAGTTTTCCTTCTGAGCCAGTAAATTTAGCTCTCTAATTACAGATTTCTTGGGGGGTACTTACGTATTCTTCATAAGCCTCAGGGGCTGGAGGTGGGGGTGCTCTGTATCCTGGTACTGCCGCTGTCCCCCGGGCACGAGGTGTAGGGACACCTCTTGCTATTGGTGGCACTGGAAGAGCTCCACGGGTCACAGTGGTCCCCCTAGGGGTGAGGACACCTCGTCCAGGTGGTGGTGGTGGAGGAATCGCGCCCCCACGGCCCCTAGGGGAAAGCAGTGACATGCAGATGAAGGGAAACAAAGACAAGAAATTAAATGCTCAGGAAGCCTTCGCACAAGCAGGCCTCTTTCTGATGGATAGTATATAATATGTAAAGTGTTTTGAGTCACACTAAAATACATTTCCTAAAATGTTATGACTTACTTCCCGTGAAAATCATGCAACATATTTTGATATTTTTTTATTATATCACTTAAAAATGGATAAATGAAAAAGAAAACCGGTCTATACTTATTATTGTATTCCAAACTTCAAAAGGACAAACCAGAGTATTGTCTGAGATGTGGCACCCTGGCTACCTGTGAGACCAAGTGTGTGTGTGTGTGTGTGTGTAGACTATCTCCATCCTGGGGTTATTGACAGTGATACAGTGATCTCCAGTGTGGTCATATTTTTTAAAAATAATCATCTTAATAAAATGTGACATTCTAACTGGAGTGATGCCACTGTGCAGTTACAGCAGCTTAAGTTTCATATCAGTGATTTATCAGCATGCCGTCACCCCTGAGACGGTGAGGTCACTGACATATTTTCACATGGTAACTCCAGGGCTGCTGAATTAGTGCTGAGCGATCTGAACAAAAGCGTGGGAATCAAAGGATGCAGCCATTTTTTTTTTTTTTTTTTTTTTAATGAAACCTCAGAAAGGATGTTTATCTGAAATCCTTGGGCAAATACATGGCTATTTCACTTTTTTTTTTTTTTTTTTTTTTTTTATTGTGCCTGAATGTTGACCCCTAGAAAGCACCACTATCAGCAGCAATGCTAAAGCTTTGAGGAAAACTGTATCTATGGGATATTCAACAAGCATGGTGTTCAGCTGTGTGTGCCATCACATGGAGGTGCAGGTAACATTGTTGGCTCTGAGTAGCCATCAACTGGCTCTTTGGTCCTGGAAGAAAGTGAGTGTTGGGAGGGAATTCTTGGCTTACCCAGCTTATTCACTGAGAGGATACAAGACAGTAGCCTAGAGCAGAGGACATTAGGGACCCAAAACTTCAGTGCCAGCCTCAAGTCCAGCAGCTGGGAAGCCAAACTAATGTCATTTCATGAAGGTATCTGTGAAGTGGAACTCAGCTTCCCTGGGTTTCTTAGGTGTTGTTTAGGTGTGAAATGTGTGAACACTTGGTTTCTAGCTCTCTGTGATGCTTCAGGAGGTTGTAGAATCTGTAGGACAGGGAGCATTGGCAGAGAAATTAGGTATTTGTGGACAGGCCTTGAGGTTTATAGCCTGATGCCATCTGCTCTTTGCTTTCAGCTCTGCTGAGACATGAGGAACAATACTCTTCCAGCCATAGGTTCCCATTTACAATGGGCCATCTTCCACAGTGCCTTCCCCGAATATGATGGACTGTGTCCTCTTCAATCTGTGACCCAAAATGAGCCCACCTTCCCTCCTTTAAGTTGTTTCTTATTTAGTATTTGCTCATAACAACCGAGACAAGCGCCTAATACAACCACCAGGTGCCTGTGCCTCACCAGTAACATACTCTCAGATTTAACAGCTAGTCTAATAATTCCTGTTCAGTTTAGCATTTTATTACTATCAAAATGTCCATGTGTTGATAATCAACTACACGTGTTGGCTATTATCAATGAATAATGGTAGGTAAAGATTTTAATTACCTAGACCTTGAATATAATTATTCCTAGCGAGTGGTATCCAGATTTCTAAATCTATATAATGCCTCTGCTCTGCAATTATGTCATGCTTATATTGATTCTGGTTTTTCACTACATTTTTTCTTCAACTGATCTTAGACCCAGACTTAGCAAAACTTCATCCAGAGTCTGTCTGATTCTCATTTATATGCTCTGTCACTTCCTGGCAATATTAACACCATTGCCTTCTCCCATTCAATCTAAAACATGCATCATCTATTTTTAGGATGCTGTCCGGGGCTAAATCCCCAGTGCACTATTCTTTAAGTTTCTGGCTTCTTCAAAGAGCACTTTCTGCATGTAATCTTCACGTCATGCTCATTTCGGAACCAAATGTCATCTCTTCAGTTCTTATTTTCGGCACTCTGGGAAGACACTTGGCTGAGCCCACCAAGCCCACAAACCTACCAGTTTCCTGTTACACTTTCCATGACCCCCGGGCCTCCTGAGTTATGTTTAAGACTTCTCCAAACTATTATCTGGAAGATGCTTCTTTGGACTTTTTACTCTTCTCTCTGCTTGGTCTCTCTGTATTTCACCTGCTGCTCATTTCTGCCACCCTTGGGCCATAGGTTTGTCTTCATTGTTTCCCTGGTCTTGACTCGGTCTCCTTTGCCACTCCTTTCCCCGAATCCAGACAATTGCTCTCATTCTCATTATCACAGCAATTTCTGAGATTCTTTCTGAAAAAATAGGTATGGCTATACCTCTTTTTTAACTCTATTAGTTCTATGGTAGTTATTAGTGTGGTCCACAAGTTCATTCAAAATCTGCCTTCAATGATAAGTGTTTCATTATTTAATCAATTAAGAAAGAGTTACCAAAGTTAAAGCCCATTCAAATGTTGCAAATACTCTGAGCCAAAATAAAGCTTTCTCCCATAAGTTTCCTTCAAGAACCTGACTCCCTATGTTAATAATAGACAAAATCTATTACTATTTGTTTTAAAGATTTCACAACAAGATAGGCATATTATTTTAGGTATTTAAACTCTGAAAGAATACAGAAGAAACGTGTGGATTTCTTTGCTCTGCCAAATATGTAGTTAAGATACACCTGATAAACTGCTAAAACTATTAAGTGACATGTCTGAACAACAAATGTGGTGAGGTTTTATTGTACAGAGCCTAGGATTAACCTATTTAAGATGACTCGCAAGGATGCCATTTCAGAATCCAAGAAAATCACCTAGAAATGCAAGTTTTATAAAATGTTGCATCAGATCAACAAGCATCCATAAGGAAATAACCTGTCCAAGTATTACAGTATTTGGTTTTTAGTTTTTAGAATGAAATATGAAAAAAAGCTTTGGCAAAAGTTTTAAGTCTTTTCCTTTAGATAGATTTAATTTCCCAGAATGTCTACATTGACCCACATACATGCTGAGTGGGAATCCTTAATTTCTTTCTGATAAATGAGCGAGGTCTTAATAGGGTAAATGTGAATCCAATAGTGTATTTTTAATGATTGAAATGTGTGGGACATTAATTAAAGTTACAGAATAATTTAGCATATCTAAAGATACTTTTATTATGACAGATGAGATACTATTTTAGGGTATGTCCTTTACAAATATAAGAGTCAGAGAAATAGAGAAGTAGTGAATGGATTACACAGCCTGTGAGTGAGGGATGCAGGGAAGGGGGGAGGAAGAGAGAGAAGTAACTTTTAAATAGAAAAAGGGTTATTATTATTCTTTGTTCAAGTTCCAGGCCATGACTGGGAAGACTGCTTTAAGGCCTCTGGTATAAGGATGCACAGAGTGCAGGGTTACCAGAATAAATTCGGGACAGCAAGGCAGGCAAAGCTGTTGAGCTTGAAGCATGGCAAAAGGAAGCCCAAGATAGAGTAGTAGCTACAGCATCCTTGGAAGGGATTTGACCCTATGACCCCAGACTTCTGTCTATGCCTTGGTTTTTGATGTCTCTATTCTGCCTATGGAAAATATGTTCAGTAAAATTTGCCTGAGTTCTATATCATGCATGAATCTTTGCCTCTTTGTAAACTAATGTTTTCAGTTAACAACAACAACAAAAAAAATTCAGAACTCTATGAAATCAAAATGTTTTCATTATCATCAATGATCTTGCAAAGCCAAATATGTGCATGACCTTCATATAACCAAGCTTGTTGTCAGGCTAAAGTGAGCTCTGGCTTTTCTTAAGCGATGGAGATATATCTAATGCATGTCTATCAACTTGACAATGCTATATCCTTTCAAGAACTATATAAGGCATGGGTAAAATACATAGTTTCCCATCATGTGACGACTTTCTGGTTGTACAAAAGCAAAGGACTATGTAAGCTCTGTGCCCTAAACCTGGGGACAGGGCAAACTGCCACCTCATTATTTAAGGACAGCTGTTAAGGGCTCACAATTATGAATTCTGGAGTCAGAATATATCCACCATTTTAGGTTAACATTTTAATAGTCTCCCCAACTTTTGCTGCTGTTTTTGTGTTTAAAACCAGTTCCATGGCTGGCCTAGAACTCATCATGACAATCAGGCTGGTGTTGAACTCACAGAGACCCACTTTTCTCAGTCTCTTAAATTCTGGGATTAAAGACATGGGCTACTACACTTGGCCTATCCAACTTTGTTCCTCAATTCCTCACTTACAAAAGTGGTTATCTCAAGCTCAAAAAAAATGTGACGAATTAATGTGTGTAATTGCTTAGGTGCTCTCTGACCATCTATTATTACCGATTTACTATGATATGGATCTTGATAAGGCTGTTATTTTTTAATGCTATTTAAGTATCCTGTCTTACTGTCTTATTATGGTGTGTGTTGATGTGATTGTTTAATTCTGTTTGGAATCATGACACAGAGCAGAACAGCACAGTCCTGCAGTGACCATTTGCTGGCAATCCACTAAGAGCGAGAACTCAGGTACCTTGAAGGAGCTATGGGAGTTATTCTGATTCCTCTGCCTCTAAGACCTCGGCCACGGCCAGATTCTTCTGAGCCATTTAAGTAAGACAACTCCCTGAGTTGTTCCTGGCGAATTTCATCATTGTAGTCCTAGAAGAACAAAACAAAAAACAATGAGTTACTATAAGACTTTGGGTTCTTAGCCACAAAACACACACCACAAACAATTAGAAAAAGGCTGAGGATACAGTTCAATGATGGAACATTTGTCTAGCATGTGAGAGACCACAAATTCTGGTGCCAGAATTTCAAAATAGAAGAAAATAAGAGAAGGCAACAATGTTGTGTGGCCATAGCTGAGTCTAACTCCATGCCTTACCTCACAGCTCTGACCCAGTACCTTGTACTCAAGAGCCTGAGGTAGGAATGGATGTTTCCAGAGAGTTCAGGGACTGCCTGAGACCATCCTGAATTCTAGATCAATCTTGGCTAGTGTGTAACTAAACAAACAGAACAGAACAGCTTTGTCTGTTGCCTTGAACATTATGCATGTACAAAACCCCTGAAGTGAGATTTAGGAAGGTATAAAACTCTTCAAACCTCTTATTGTATAGAGAAAATGAAGATACTTTTCTCACAAAGAATTACTCTTCATGACACTCTTAACTATTATTTTGGGCTTTATCTGAAGAGGGGAGGTGGCAGCATGGGATCAGCAGTACATGGAAAATACCTCAACTACAGCGTTCAACATCAATATTATGGGGAATAGACTGCACTTGGGTGAATATGTGTAGATTATGAGTGCATGCTATTCAAACAGTTCCCAAGTCACAATCCAAAATGGAACATTCCCAAGACCAAGATCAGCTGAGACTGACTTAAATTCATTACAATAAAGTGCACCATCAGACTCTGCTTTGGTCACAGAAAGCTGTGGAATCTACCAAATAACCCAGCCTGCAACATTTTCAAACCAAGGAACTTCCTTATGCATCTTATCCACAGAACGTGGGAGCCGCAGCATAAATCAAATGTCACATCACAGCCAGAGACTGAGTGAGGCGCCTGTTATTATCCTTCAGCATGTGTATCCGTTGGTCATTTATAAAGAACTAAAAAGTAGGTCTGAGTCATTAAAAGTGGAGTTAGCCTTTAATAAAAAGTGCTAGTTTTAATTATTTCCTCTTCTAATACATGTACCGACATGTGAACACTCAGAGACAAAGATAACACAGAGACACAGAGAGACTGACACACATACACACCCCTTATGGAACAATATAAAATGTAATAGCTGGTTATTTTTGCCAAATTTCCAACATGATCTTTTTTTCTCTAGGACATATTTATGTGATATCTACCTATGCTGTTGCCTAACACTGGGGATGAGTCTGTCTTAAAACTGAAAACTTTGACAGAGGTGGAGCCCACAAACATGAGATGTGAGGCCACCCTAGAAACAAAAGTCCAGTGCATCAGTCAATGATGTTCATTTAGCTCAGTATAAAAAGGAATGTGTGTGTTACGTCAATTGAATTAAAGATCCTGTAGTGTCAGAGATTCACTCCTGCTGTGCAAGGTCTGGGGGATTCTTAATGCACACCTTTACCTCATTCTCCAGAAACTGATTTGATTACAACCAAAAGGCCAGTCATGCCAAAGTACTTATTTTCTTATTTGCAACGTGTCACATTCATGTTTATCCTCTTCAGCACCTGATTATAGTGATGGTGGGTTTATCCCAGCCGACAGCAGAGCTCTACAGTGAAAACTATAGTTTCTAACAAGTCATATATTATTCAATTCCTACCTCCAAAATTTCATATTCATGCCCCAACTAAACTGGAGATAAAAAACAAACATGTCTATTATTTTACTAGGATCAGGAATACAGAATATTGTGACTGCTGTTGGGATCAATCAGCCCACTGTCAAACTGAAACATGAGTCCCATCATTTTCATATGTAATATTACTGAATATGATGTTGTATCTGAAGCTTCTTCTCTGATGGAGATCCATATTTATTCTGTGTTCTTATGGGTTAAAAAAGTGTAGACTGGCATTGTTCTGTAGCAGACAGATATAATACAACAGCTCCCAGTTTGTTCAGCACTTCCTGGATCCATGCCTTTGAAAGTTGTAGTAACCTTGACCTGGCATTGGCAGCATGAACCTTTCAGCTAAGTACAGAATGTAACCAAAGTTATTGGAAAGTGCTTGTGTACTAGAACTTGAGCTTTTTGGCCTTGGAAACTCTTATGTCACAAGGTGGGGAAGTCTGGCTCAGCTTTTTGGAAACCAGGAGAACATGAGGAGACATTGTAGTCACTCTGCCCCTGATGCTGTCCTTTCTAAGTAAGATACAGGAAAAGCCATTCAGAGCTCTCTGAGTTATCAAACTGGTGGAGACCAGAAACATCACCTGCAAATCTCAGGAATCTACTTTTTTTTTTTCCTCAGGATGAAAACAAAAAATAAACTGGTAATCCAAACCATCAAGGATCTTGTGTTGATCTGGTCTAAGTGTTCCAAGAACAGTGATAATTTGTCAGCATAGGATGAGAGAGTTGTGCTTCAGAGGCAAGCTTAACTAGACATTCTCCACATATCTGGATGAGAGTTCTTGGACCTACATGTTATAATTTATTTCTTGGGTCAGGTGCCATCTCAGAGGCTCAATATATCTGAAACAATTCCTAGGCATAATAGTTTGAAACATTTGTTGAATCTCTCTCTCTCTCTCTCTCTCTCTCTCTCTCTCTCTCTCTCTCTCTCTCTGTCTCTCTCGTGTGTGAGATTACTAACTCAGTGGCACTGCTAATTTGCTGCTCTGGAAAATTCTATTAAGCAGGAAAGATTGGTGATCTTGGTTATATGAATATTTGTCACTGAAGAATAATTCTTCATGGAAATAAGGTCACTACTGACAATATGCAAACCAAATTCCTCATGGGCTTAGCTGGGAATGGTCCCTTTAAGAGATTAATCACATTGCAGGTTTACGGTGAGCATGAGAATGGAGACAAGTCATTGCAAGTGTAACTGACCATGAACTGCAGTTGCTACCTCTTGAAATACTACATCCTCAAGGCTATGTTACCAAGGGCTTGTCTCAGCTCCTGATGCTCAAATATGTCTGCTCCAGAGGAGACACTGGATTCCTGTATTTTAAAGACTCCTTTATGGGATTGTTGAACTTACATATCTATTTATTTTACTTCAGCACATCAGAGAAATTCAGAACTCCCACTTCTCTTCCTAGGTTTATATGGAAGAGCTCACCTTATTTCCCATAACGATTTTGATTTTGTCACAAGAGCACGTTCTTTAACAAAATCCCTCCATGTTTAATCCACTTTTAGCATTCACTTTTTTGAGGTCTCAAGTGGAAATGCAGAATTCTGACAAAAGCAAGTTCCTAAAAAGCACAGAGCTGGGAGCATTGGCAAACTCATTTGTATTAATACTGGTGGGAGCTACTCCATTCACCACACCCTATGCTGTGATTGAATTAGTGAGACTGGCATTCTCCTACTTTAAAACGGCTATGGATAGGTTGAATATTAGACTTACTACCAATAATTGAAAAATGCAATACTGAGGATTTAAAGAAAAAAATTACAAATTGTGTAATGCATCACATAACTGGAGACTCGGAAAGACTCAGAGGGCTGGCGAACATGAGAACTGTTGAGAGACAGGGACTAGAACACTTTCATTAGTACGGAAGAACTGTAATGGCAGCGGACAAGTTGCTTTTTGCACGATTGTGATGGGATCTGAGAAAAAGAATGTGGACTTCTAATAGCTTAAGGGTGTTGTGGTACAAAGTAATACACTTCTATTGTTTTCTGCCATTTCTACATTGTTTTGCCTTTTTTTTTTTTAAATACAAAAATTGGTTTTGGAAATATATTACTTGAAATAACATGTACTCACAATACTTTCATATGTTCCTTTCCCTGAATGAGATAAATTGACTCTATGAAACAGTTTCCATGAAATATATGAGTGTTCCCTTTTGCCTGTCGGATAGGGCCCTCCCACTGTGCTGGCATATGGTGTAAACAGTACACACAAAAGATGCTGAGAGCAGAAGGATGCTCGGATGCTCTCGGAAAGGAATAATGCGCACAGTCCGCACATTAAATGTATGCGCACAATTTCCAGTTACATACAGACTTGTCCATCTGCTCTGGTGGCATCTTGCCAAAAATACAAATTGGGAAGATTATTTAACTTACATTTAGATGGCAGGTAATGGCAGGTGTTAATAGGCAACCTGGGGGTTCAGTCAGGGACTATTTTCCTGCCAAATCCTCTCCATTAAGACTCAGCAGGCACTGGTGCCACACATTTAAAACTGTGGCCATGGGCTGAGGAGATACCTGCGTGGATAACAGCACTTGCTGCCAAGTCTGACCACCTGAGTGATCCTGGAATTGTACATGAAGGAAGGAGAGCACTGTCACCTGCAGGCTGTTGTGGTAGCAGCACACACATAAAGATAAATATATATATATATATATATATATATATATATATATATATATATGTCCATGAATGTAAGCAAAAGGAGGAAATGTGGATTTTAATCCTTTGGATCATAACAACGAGAACTGGAGAAATAGCAGCTTCTACAAATACAGTAATAAACAAGAAAGTGAAATTGGATGTAGTGACACATGCCTGAAATTCTCCTATCTTGGAAGCCAAGGCAGAAGATCATGAGTTAATGGCCATCCCGTGTTACAATAGTAAACCTAAAAAAGGGGAAATGTGGGCTCTGAGCCAATATCACACTTAGGACTGGGCTGGAATGGTTAGGGAACTTAAAAAAAAATACTAGTTGAGATTATTTAATAAAACAAAAGTTTAGGTAGCTTCACTGAGTCAGTGCAGAGTGAGTTTCACTCAGCTCAAACTAGAAATCAAACAGTCCATTAGCAAAATGCAGTCAATGAGGAGTAAATTAAGATTTATTAAGAAGCTGCCCAATGAACGATTCTGTATAAAGTTCATATGAAACCTTTATAATAGTACTCATGAGAGAAAACAGCATCAGGAATTCAAAATGTCTTTTCACTCGGAGCCTTTAGTTGCTATTGATGACAACTTCTGTTTCCAATGTCTTTTACTTTTCTA